TACTTCGAAAGGCCGATCTAAACTGTGTCACCGAATTTACGTCACAGAAAAACTAGTGCCAGTCCATTAGCGTCTCCCAAAACACGGCCAACACGACTGGGCATCGCCAGAAATCTAACTTTGAAGGCTGATTTCGAGGTGAAAAAAATTCGAAATCGAAAATTTTTTTTTGGAATATTTATCTATATCATCTAGAGATGACAAAACCGTAAAAAAATTCTAGACCTGATATACACTTTAATCAATTTAGTAGTTGACGCTCTAAGTGTACTGGCAACGAACCGTCAATAAACCAGTCACCATGACAACCACCAAATATTTATCGCTAATTACAAAAAACAACCATTGGTCTATTGTTATGCTAATATTCCAGAAGAAAAGGCGTTTTGCAAATGTATTGTTTTAGCATCTCGAGTATTTGCACAGATACTTCCACACAAAAAAATCTTTAAAAATACCGTTTGATTCAAGACACATGCCTTCCTCGTTTTTTCGCGAGATCCAAGAAATTATCTTTATTTCGATTTCAAAACTTTTTTTGCAGTTGAAGTTTATGTTTTTCTTAGTAAAAAACTTGCATGTAATATGTACAATACTATATTCCTTTCGGATTATCTTTATGCTAATACTAAAAAAATAACACTCAAAAACATCTTTCCTATATGATTTTTCCTTTTCGCATGTCCATACAGAGGTCTAGAATTAATTCGTTTTCATTTGGGCATAATAATAGTTATATCTTCTCTTTATATATCCGTCGCTTTCATATTCTTTCATAAATAAAAGAGGGGGAATTAGTCAATTAAGTTTTTTCTCCCAAGACATTCCCCAACATTTCTTGTAGCAATTCTGCTTTTTAGCTATTTCTTATCTAATTGGAATAGTGATTAGACGATGGAATACCGTGTAAAAAAAACTAGAAAATCACTTTAGTTTAATATGACTACAATGCCTTTTCCACGTGCTCTTTGGTCCTTATACTCTTAAGAAACTCATGTATGTTTTCATTGTAAAGCAAGAATATACTTTACTCAARAAAATAGATAGTTAAGAATAATAAAAATATGAGATATTGGAAAAATCAATAATAAAAAAAAGATGATTGTCAATGCAAATTGACAAACTCCTTTCTCGAGGTTCCAACTTTTTTTAAACATTAAATATAGTTTCCTAAATTATTAAGTTAAGCCCCGTTTACACTAGCGATTTATACGGCGATTTTGTCCATAATAAATAATGGTAAAGAAGTAAAGAAGGACGAGACAAAAGATTTAATATTTCTGAAAATTACCACAAAAACCGCAGCAAAAATCGCCAGTGTAAACGGGGCTTTAAGCTGCGCCGCTGCTGTACTATGCGGTGGAGATTAGCGATACCTTTTTTTCCCGAGGTTCCACACAACATCTTTTTACATCAACTTTTATAATTTTTCTTATAGTAATTTTAAAATTTTCTTAAGCAAAGGACAAATATTTTTATTCATACGTACATACATAAACTTTATTTCAGTGTCAAAAAATTTAGCCGTAAAACTGAGGGAACACATACACATAATTTATCTTTGAATAATTTTCTCGTTTCTCTTCCAATTTAGAATGGATGCCCACCAGAGTTGAACGCCTGTCTTGAATTAGTAAAGGCGCATCAAATCTGTACCTCTCTCAATGAGATCTGTACTGCAATCGAGAATGGCAATGCATCTCATCAAATTCTTTCTTTTGAAGCCAATCGCTGTAATGATAGTCAGGTTTTCTGTCCTTTGACAAGAGAATGTCTCGCACCAAATTCCACCTGTAATGTCGACACAGTCGCTTCTCGGTTTGGAGGAAACGTGACCCCATGGGGAGCCAATTGCAGTGCAGGCCAAGAGTTTTGTTCTGTCTCGATGTCATGTCTTCCAGTCAACACTACGTGTTCCTTGAAGGCTCTATACGATTGGCAGTTAAATGGAAACATGACGTATGGACCTTACGGACAGGTGTGCTCGACTGGACAGACTTTCTGTTTAGCGACATTGAGCTGTATTGCTTCTGTAAACGCGTCGTGTGAAGTGCCTTTCAATGCATCATCCGGGTCGCCCTGCGAGAACAACGAAAAACTCTGCGGCAAGACAGGAGGGTGCATTGCTATGAACAGCACTTGCAATAGTAGTAGTCACTGGCCAGTTCGGGCGCAATTTAGCCATAGATTTTATTTTTGATTTTGCAGCTGGTTTTAGGCTTGATATCATCCGATTAAAATATTGCCTAGATATTATTAATGAAATAAAAAATGAGAAAACCAAATGAAGCTCTAATAATTGATTTATGTTTTTAATGTTACCAAAGATAATATTAGACAATTAAGGTGTGATTTTTAACCACCCCACATCCTAGGTTTCCGATGCTAGGTATCCTATGCTAGGTATTATATGCTAGGTTTACATCCTAGGTTTCCTATGCTAGGGTAAAAAAAATTTTGTATGAAAGTGGCTTAAAGAAATAATTATATAGTATATTATAAAGAAAATGCGTTCGGAAAATAGATATAAGGATAAGACTATTGATAATAATAATAATATGTCAAATAGTATAATGGATGAACCAGTACCAGAAATTGATATACCAATTTTAAAACCGGTAAAAACTACGAATATATCTAATAAGAATATGATCGAAACAGTTGCATACAGTGTTCAGAAGCAATTAAATGAGTTTGCTGACTGGATCATATCATATGTTCCACCAGATGTTAAGAAGACTGTAAATGAACGTGTGGAAGCATTGAAGAAAACAGTAAATGATATCTATAACGAAAAAGAGAAGCTAGTAGCTGAACAAAAGGAAATGAATATTGCATACAAGAAAGAGTCAGCAATGAAGGGTTTTTTATCGTCTTACAGAATAAAAGGTGAGGAAAAGATTGGCCCCAAATCGTTTATAGAAAAGTATAAGGCCATAGTTATTAGAACGGTTAAAAAACAGCAAAAGCCAATTAAAATGAAGTTAGTACTAGAGTGTGTATTTTATAAAAAGGAGAAAAAAGAGATTGTATACACATTTGGATATTTTCATAGTAATATAGTCATTATTGTACAAGCTACGAATATAGAAGATGTTTATGAAAAATTGACAGGTGATATATTAGAAAAGATTAGTAATTTCCAAAATAGTGGATCGGGTTGGATATTCAATAAAGTGGAGAATTTAGATATTCATATAGATAAATATAAGCCTATAACAGCAAAATCTTATATTCCATTGCCAGGAAAATTGAAGAGTAAAGAAGCTATTATTAATCCTAAGAATAAAGATAACCAATGTTTCAAGTGGTCAGTTACAAGAGCATTATTTCCTGAAAAAAGGGATAATGAAAGGATAACTAAAGCTCTTAGAAATAATAGTGAAAAACTATGTTGGGATGATATCGAATTTCCTGTTCAGCTGGATAAGATTACTAAATTTGAGAGTAATAATCCAGGATATCGAGTAAACGTGTATAGATATATCAATGAGTCTGTACCTATTGGGATAAGTGAGGTTGAAAATGAAGATAGTAAGAAAACGATAAATCTATTATTAATATCGAATGAAGAGGCTAATCACTATTGCTGGATAAAGAATATGAGTAGGTTAATATCATCTCAAATAACTAAAAATGGGCATTGTAGGTATTATTGTGAAAGGTGTCTAAACTCGTTTAAGACTAAGAAGGCTTTAGGCATACACTACGAGTATTGTAAGAACCACGAGGCGGTTAAGATTACATTACCAAAAAAGGGGTCAACAATCTCGTTTAACAATTATAARCACTCCATGCGAGTTCCCTTTACCATCTATGCAGATTTTGAATGCTTCACAGAGAGTATCGATACATGCCAACAAAATGATGAAAGATCATATACTCAACGATACCAAAAACATAAACCATCCGGTTATTGTTATATGGTAAAATGTTATGATGATAGTATATATAAACCAAAATTGTATAGATATACTGCTAAGTCAGAGGATGAGGATATTAGTCAAAGATTTGTAGAATCGGTAGAAAAGGCTGTTAAAAATATCTATAAAAAATATCATTACAATAAGAAGGTTAATATGACGGACAAGGATAATATGAATTATGATAAAGCTACACGATGTCATATTTGTGATGAGGAGTTGAATGGTGATAAGGTATTAGATCATGATCATCTTACAGGTAAGTATCGAGGTGCAGCACATAACGAGTGTAATTTGAATTACAAAATGCCGAAGCATATACCAGTGATATTTCATAATTTAGCAGGTTATGATGCGCATTTATTTATCAAAAATCTAGGTTCTACAGATGGTAAAATAGATTGTATACCAAACAACGAAGAAAAGTATATTAGTTTCAAAAAGGAGATAATAGTAGATACATTTGAAGACAAGAATGGTAAAGTGTGCAATGTTAAACGTGAGATTAGATTCATTGACAGTTTAAAATTTATGGCTTCATCGTTGGATGTATTAGTTAGTAATATTACAGATTGTGGGAAATGTAAGACTTGCTCATGTGTAAGAAATAATAAAAAATGTGGAGAGTGTAGATCATGCTTATTTGGTAGTAAGAATTGTGAAAATCCATCTGATATGATGACATCGAATCTAAGAAAGTTTTATGGAGGGAAAAAGCTGAGACTATTGTTGAGAAAAGGTGTTTATCCATATGATTATGTCAACTCATTAGACAAATTAAATGAAACATATCTACCTCCAAAAAGTGAATTTTATAGCAAGTTGAATAGTCGTGATATTTCAGATGATGATTACGAACATGCAAAAGAAATATGGAAAACATTCAAAATAAGATCTATGAAAGAGTATCATGATCTATATCTTAAGAGTGATGTAATACTATTAGCTGATGTGTTTGAGACGTTCAGAGATGTATGTATGGAGAATTATAAGTTAGAYCCATGTTGGTATTACACAGCTCCGGGACTATCTTGGGATGCTATGCTGAAAAAGACGAAAATTAATCTTGAGTTGTTGTCAGATAGTGAAATGCTATTAATGATAGAATCTGGAATAAGAGGAGGGATCTCAATGATTAGTAAACGTTATGCAAAAGCTAATAACAAATACATGAAATCATTCAATAATAAGGAARAGTCRARATTCATCAAATACCTAGATGCTAATAATTTATATGGGTGGGCTATGTCACAGAAGTTACCTACACATGGGTTTAAATGGATGAATAAACTAGAGCTCAAGAATTGGAAAAAGCATCCATGTATACTAGAAGTAGATTTAGAGTATCCTGTTGAATTACATAATCTTCATAATGAGTATCCATTAGCACCTGAGAGGCTAATGATCAATAGAGTAGAAAAACTTATTCCTAACCTAGCTGATAAGACGAAATATGTAGTACACCATGAGACGTTGAAATTGTATGAAAGTCTTGGATTGAAAATAACGAATATCCATAGAGGTGTTACATTTCATGAGTCTGAGTGGTTGAAACAATATATTAGTCTTAACACAGAACTCCGTACAAAGGCTAAAAACGATTTCGAAAAAAACTTTTTCAAACTGATGAACAATAGCGTTTTTGGAAAGACCATGGAAAACATACGCAATAGACAGGATATTAGGCTAGTAACAAATGAAAAACAGACAGCTTAATTAATTAATATGCCTAATTATAAGAAAAGAACAATATTCTCAGAAAATTTAGCTGCTATTCATATGGGTAAAACAGAGTTAGTTTTCAATAAACCTATATACGTAGGTATGAGCATCTTAGATATTTCGAAGAATTTGATGTACGACTTCCATTATAATTATGTTAAACCAAAATATGGTAATAGATCGAATCTACTATTCACAGATACTGACAGTCTCATGTATGAGATTGAAACAGATGATTTTTATAAAGATATCGAGAAAGATATCGAGACAAAGTTTGATACAAGTAATTATCCAGAAGATCACCAAGGAGTAAAACAAAGGGTTAATAAAAAGGTTATTGGTATGATGAAAGATGAGACAGCAGGCCAAGAGATTACTGAATTTGTAGGATTGAGATCTAAACTATATGCTTATAAAACAGAAGAACATATTGGTAAGCGTTGCAAAGGTATTAAGAAATCAGTTGTAAAAAACCATATTTCATTTGATGATTATAAGGAATGCTTATTTGAAGGRCGACAAATTATGAGAAAGATGAATGTAATCAGGAGCCACGGACATCAAATTTACACCGAAACAGTTAATAAAGTAGCTTTATCAAGAGATAATGACAAACGTGATATACACGCAGATGGTATCCATACAGATGCCTATGGTTATAAAAATATTGATGAATGGCTATATGATCATGAAAGAGGTGAATACATAAAACGTTATGAGGGTGTAATCGATCATTATGATAGAATAGCTTCACAAAATGTTTATAAACAAAGTAAGTCAAGCAAATTATTTTAAAACATTATCAGGTGGTAGAACAGTATCTTCGGGTACAATTTGTAATTCTTCTCTGACAAAATTCCTTTTAGGTGCACCATTAGAGAGGTAATATAATACAGGTTGGTTAGCTGAAACGACAGCCTTTGATATGTCATATATTCCTAATGACCATATAGGATCTGTCGCTCTTTTATTACCACCTTCCAACTCACCATAAGCGTACAAATATCTAACTTTTACGCCAGCAGGGAGTCTAATTTCATCTAGACCAACAGGTCTTTCATATTTCACATGATTTTCATTTACCTTTTCCAATTTAATTCCTTCAATAGGAGCCTTTCCAGTTATTCTTTTTACACCACTGTTTATACTTCGTATGACGGCTGGCAGTCTTTCAACCCATTCACGAGATCTTTCATTATTTTCCATTTTCATTTCTCTTGCATACTGATAGCTAAATAGTTTCTCAGCAATGGTTTGATTAGCGCGCTCGACTAATGCTTGGGCTCTATGATTATTAGCTTCTGATCTTTGTATTTTAACAGATTTATTTTTCATTATCTTTGTGACATCACCCATGAATTCAGTACCAGGGTCTATGATAATTGTTTCAGACCATTTCAAACGTCTAGAGTATATCTTTTCAAATCCTCTGGATACCTCTGATGAGTATTTAGACGTCAAAGGCTCAGCATCTATGTATCTACTTGCAATATCAACGACCACAAGAGCATATTTATAAGTCTTTCGTTTTACKGTATCATGAGGTAGAAATAATAAGTCTGCCTGATGTATTTGATTAACTTTTTCAACATTCCAGTGATATCTTGGGATGTAATTCGGTGGTGGTAAATATATCTGCCATAATGCTTGTTTTTCCAACCACTTTTTCACTATAGCTTTATCAATATTGGTGACATCAGCTAGTTTATTAATAGCTTCATAACCCTTCCAATAGCCTTGTGGACTATAATAATGATTCGATAATTTTCTGTTATCCATATATAAAATATATAAAATATATAAAACAATGATATTTTATATACACTATATATAATGAGTCAATCAATATCACAAGTGCTAGATGTTAACCATGAATCGAGGAGACCTTTGCTTTGAAAGCAGAAAGGAAACTACATAGAGTAACATTCAATCCTAGTAGTGCTAAGGCAGGTGAAACATTACGTGTAACCATACCAAAACTATCTGATAATTTCGTATATGTTCCAAACAGTATAGGTTTAATTTTTGATCTAGATATAACTAGTGATGAAACTAATAAGACAGTAGTTAATAATATAGGACGTAATCTAATAGAGGATATGAAATTTTCATATGGTGGAACAGAAATTTTAAATTTATCCAGATATGATTTATATTATACATATAAGGACTTATTCAAACTAGTCATAGAACGTGACAATATGCTTATTCAAGGTGTATCTAGTGAGGATATGCGTAAGATAAGGACAGATGCTGGTGATAAGTCAACTGATGCTGAGGAAGTAAGATTGGGTGAAATATATGGTAAAAAATATAAGATACCATTATCACACGAAATCATTGATAAACATGGTGTTCTTAATATGAGAGGTTTGAGAAACGTAATAGAATTCCAGATCAAATTAACTGAGGATAAAAATATTAGTACCACGTCTGATAAAACTAAGACATTCTCTTATAAACTTAATAATATAGAACTAGAGTATGAGAGTATCCTAAGTGGAGAACTATCTAGAGAAGCAGCTATGAGCTACCAACTAGGAAAGGGTTTTTATTACGAATTTATAAAAAAATATAAAGATTTCGAGATAGATAACGTAAATGATAGCATTATTAATCAAAGTATAAATAATCCTATACGTAGTCTAACAGGAATACTAATGTTGTTCGAGAAACCATATGAAAATGGTGCTAGAGATAGTGAGAAATTCGTAAATCCAAATATAACGAAGATAGAGATCGATATTGATGGTATGTCTAAGAAAATATATGAAAATGGTATGCTACCTACAGACATGTGGGATAGTGCTGTCAAACGATATGGATTAAGTGATAATATAACACAAAAGGATTTCTATAATAGTAAATACTCTATATGGATTGATACAAGAACATACTATGATGATATACTACATGGAGCAGGTCTTCATCTTAACACTATAGGAGATGGTGTAAGTATAAAGATGACTAGGACTGTAGGAAAAACAGCAGGAAAGATTAGATGCTATATGTATATAGTAGCTGATGCTGTTCTTGAAGTTGAAAATTCTGATTTGAAAGCAATAATGTATTAAAAAATTAGTATTATAATATACATATGGAAGAGTTAATACATAGGATACCCTACAATTGTATAATCGTTGGACCTACTAACTGTGGTAAAACACAATTCCTAGTTGATATCCTAAGAGATTCCTATAAATGTATATTCGAATATATCATCTTAGTTTGTCCAACATACTCTAGAAATGAAACATATAGAGGTTTTGCTAATAATGATCCGCGATTTATAGTTGTACAACCTGATAGTAGTGATATAGATGATCTTAACCAAATATTACTAGATATCGAAACTGTTTTTTGTGGTTATCCGACGCTAGTCATCTTAGATGATATTGCATCCAGTAGTGAGGTTAAAAAACGGTCAAATCAATTCATAAACTTAGCATTTAGTGCAAGGCATTCTAATATATCAGTTTGGGTGTTAACACAGCATTTAACCTCAATCTCAAAACCGTTTAGGGATAATATAGGTTGTATAGTTAGTTTTTTCACACCGAATAGAATATCGAATCAGACATTGTTTGATGAATATGGTGGAGAGTTAGACGCTGAGCATAGGAAACATTATATGAAGATACTAAAATCAGAAAAATATGCTAGGATTTGTTTCTGCCTACGTCATCCATTTCATACATACGTGGAGATTCCAAATGGTTTAAAAAATTAAATATTAATATAATATATAATATGGAATCCATACTTGATCAATATGCTGATAATAAATTAGAAACTATACCCGAAGAACCAATAGTAGAGGAAAAGAAACATATTAAAAAGAAGAAATCAACAGTTAAGAAAGATGATAGTACTGCTGATATAGAAGAGAAACGTGAACAATTATCTATTTTAGCAGTTCTTGGCACGATAGAAACATATACTGGACAAAAAATGTCCCTCGGAGATGTTAAGAGATTAGCATCGATAGACGTTGAAAAATACTATAACCGATATCAAGTCATTTTGGGTAATCATGTGACAGGATCATTAGTTGATACAACCCTTGAGGCTGCTATTGAGTTAGCGAGTTATCTCTTACCTATCGATAATAAGGAATCACTATCTTCTGATCTGAAAGAAAATCCATTAGTAAGACAAGAGCTATCTAATGCAGCTGGGTATGTAGTCTTAAAAGGTGGCCGTTTAGTCGCCTTAGCGAGTGGGCTACTTCAAGTCGCTAAACATATAGATCTTAGTAGTCTCAATAAGAAGGAACCATTAGATGATATGGATAAGTATATTAATGAAACTGTTGAGCAGACTCTTGAGCACTCTTGAGCAGACTCTTGAGCACTCTTGAGCAGACTCTTGAGCACTCTTGAGCAGAAATGAAAATAGTAATAGAAATTATATAAATATTTATTATATTTATATATTATATGTCTGAAGATAATACACAAGTTGAACAAATAACTAAGGAGCCTGAGCAAAAAGTAGAACGTGTAAAGGATCCTAAGAAGGTTGCTGCTGGAAGACGCCTAGCTGAGTATCATAAAAAAGCTAAAAATGCTCTTGAAAGAGAGAATGTTGTTGAAGAAGATGATAGTAATACTAAATGGATGCCTGAAATAAGTCTTACAACTGCATTAACATTAGTTGGCATCACACTAACAGCTTTAGATTTATATCTAAGATTGAATAAGAGCAATAACCAAACTCCCACACCTAAATCTAATATAGATAATGAAGAACCTAAACCCAAGATAAAAAATGAAGTGGATAAACCATTTTCGAAACCATCTAATATACCTAAGAGGAAAATAGGGATGGAATAGAAAAAACATATAAAATTAAATGTATATATATAATATATAAAATGTCAAGTACAACAACTGAAAACAAACTAGTTAAAACCGCTATGGACTCTGCTGTTATCGTTGGATTGGCTGCTGGAGTTGGATATGTGGGTAAAAAAGCTTTGAAAGAAAATTTTC